ATTAAGTTCTTTGCAGAAAACACAGGATTTCTACCAATTAATAATAAGAAAGATTATGTGTATACATATAACCTTGTCAACAAAAATCTTCTCTTTGTAGATCCAAATTCATGAATAAGCCTAAACTGGCAGTACCTATAGTTCATTTATTATGGGTAGAGTCCCCATTTTACAAACAAACCTCTTTTTTATGGGAAAAGGTTCAGGGTTTCAGAATGTCTTTGGTATATATTTCCTGATACCAGAGGGGCAGAATTCTCCTGCTGTCCATCAAATGACATGCACTTGCAGCTGCAAGACATTGTGCAGGGGCACTCTTCTACTCTAGAATTAAATACAGAGTTAAATATATGTAAAGACATAATGCATACAGAATAATACCCTAGTAACAATATATGCTCTCTAATCTTATCAAACTATAATTTGCTTACTGTGCATCAATGAAAATTTTCTCTTCTTTTTTTTTTTTTTTTAATTCTCACCCAAGAATATGTTAAGAGAGAGGAGGGGAGTCTCTGTTTGTTTCTTGATGAATCTGGATAATGATAAATCATAATCCAGATTCATCAATTTTGTTTATCCTTTCAAAGAGCCAGCTCTTGGTTTCACTGATTTTTTTGGTATTGTTTTTTTAGTGTCTATGTTATTTATTTCTGTTCCAATCTTCCTTCTACTTACTCTGGCCTTTTCTTGTTGTTCTCTTGCTGGTCAGCCCCATCTCATGCTTCCCCACATTCTCTTTATAGTTCTTTAAGTTGTAGGGTTAAATAGTATATTGCTGATTTTTCTTGTTTTTTGAGGTATGCCTATAGTGCTGTAAACTTCCCTCTCAGGACTGCTTTTGCTATGTCCCAGAGATTTTGGGTTGTTGTGTGTTCATTTTCATTTGTTTCCAGGAAGTTTTTTATTTCTTGCTCTCGTTGGTAACCCATTCATTGTTTAATAAAATGCTATTTAGCCTCCATGTATTTGAATGTTTTGGGGTGTTTTTACTATAGTTGATTTCTAATTTCATGCCACTGTGATCTGAGAAGATGCTTGCTATGATTTCAATCTTCTTGAACTTTTAGAGAATTGCTTTGTATCCTAACATGTAGTCTATCTTTGTGAATGATCAATGTGCACTTGAGAAGAATGTATATTCTGCTGCTTTGGGGTGAAATGTTCTGTAAATGTCAATTAAATCTACCTGATCCAGTGTGTCCTTTAGAATCACAGTTTCCTTGTTAAGTTTTTGTCTGGAAGATCTATCCAATGAAGTCAGCAGGGTGTTAAAGTCCCCTACTATGATTCTATTGTTGTCAATCTCTCTGTTAAAATCCTCTAGAAGTTTGTTGTTGCTGTTGTTTTTTCTTATAAATTTAGGTGCTCCTATATTGGGTGCATATATGTTTACCAGGGTTATATCCTCTTGTTGGATCGATCCCTTTAGTATTATGTAGTGACCTTTGTTGTCTCTTGTGATGGCCTTCATTTTAAAGTCTATTTTGTCAGATATGAGTATTTTTTTCTTTTCCATTTACATGAAAACTTTTTTTCTATTCCTTCACTCTCATTGTGTGTGTGTCTTTTGTTCTGAGGTGGGTCCTATAGACAGCATATAGTTGGGTCATGTTTTTGTATCCATTCAGCTACCCTGTACCTTTTATTGGAACATTTAATCCATTTACATTTAGGGTTATTATTGATTAGGAACTTATTTATTGCCACTTTAATTCTGTATGCCTAGATTTCTCTCTCTGTTTCTTCTTATTACAGCAGTCCCTTTAGCATTTCTTGTAATGCTGGATTGGTGGCAAAGTACTCCTTTAGCTTTTTTTTTTTTTTTTTTTTTGGTCTGGGAAGCTCTTTATTCGACCGTCTATTTTGAGTGATAGCATTGTTGGATATAGTAATCTTGGTTTCAGGTCCTTGCTTTCCATTATCTTGAGTACTTCATGCCATTCCCTTCTCGCCTGTAGAGTTTCTGATGAGAAATCAGGTGTCAGCCTTATGGGAGCTCCTTTGTAGGTAACAGTTTGATTTTCTCTTGCTACCTTTAAGATTCTCTCTTTATCTTTAATTTTTGGCATTTTAATTACAATGTGTCTCTGCGCATGGGCCTGTTTGAGTTCTTCTTGTTTGGCACTCTCTGTTTCTCCTGAACTTGTGTGACTTTTTCCTTCACCAGATTAGGGAAGTTTTCTGCCATTATTTCTTCAAACATGTTTTCTATCTCTTTCTCTCTTCCTGCCTCTCTGGCACACCTGCTGGTCGAATATGGTTACATTTCACATTATCCCACAGCTCCCTTAAGGTGTCCTCCTGTTTTTTAATTGTTTTTTCTTTTTGGTTCTCTGATTTTTTTCAACTCTTGTCTTCTAATTCACTAATTCGATCTTCAGCTTCACCTAATCTGCTGTGTATTCTTTCCAATGCGTTCTTTATGTGTGTTATGTCATCCTTTATCTCAGACTGTTCTTTTGTCATAGTTATTATATCTTTTTGCATGCTGTTGAGCATCTTTACCATCATTACTCTGAACTCCATTTCAAATAAATTTCTTATCTCTGCTTCATTTATTTCTTCTTCTGGAGAATTCTCTTGGTCTTTTTTTGGGGGGTTGTTTCTTTGTCCCCTCATTTGGCTGTCTGTTTGGGTTTGTGACTATGTATTAGGTAGACCCTCTACACCTCTCAATCTCTAATGCAGGACAGTGTCAAACACTGTTTCTGACTTATTAGATCAGGCAAAGACTCAAAGCCTCCAGAGATCACCTCTTCCTAGACTGTTAGGATTCCAACTTGAATTGCCCTCAGGCAATCATCCTCAGTTGTGATAACAGTTTTTTTTCTATAGGGTGGGACAGTTACTTCTACCTGGATGCTAATTGTTATATTCATCTCTTAGGTGGCCTTAGGGCAAATTGTTTTCAAGTAGGGTGGGTCAACTGTCTTCCCTCCAGGCAAGGCAAATGTCTGTGTGGGAAAGATGTCTTCCACTGGGTGAGGGAATGACTCAGCACAGGAAACTTGGGGTGTCTGCCTTCTTAGCTCTATCTCCTGAGTCCCCAATCCTGGCTTCTGCTCACACAGCCCAGACTACTCCGCCCTCCCTCCACCAGAGCACAAGGTGGGTGGTTCCACAGGGAATTTTGTGCATTGTCCCTTTAGAGGGTGCCTGAATTTTTAGCTGTCACTCCCTAGCAGACAGCAACCCTGCTTTTCACACCCAGATATTATGTGGGTACCCTTCTCCGTTCTGGTGCTTTCTGCTGGGGAGCCCAGCTAGGGGATTAAATCCCAGAGGTCTCAGTGGCAACCCCCCACAGCTGATATATCTCTCCGGAACTTCAGTTGCTGTCTGTGGGCACCTGGCCAGCCCTTTCACGCCTCCACCCCTCTTAGTAGTCTCTATGCGGTCTCCACTTTTGGTCCTCAGATATCAGTTTCTCTCCTGGGAGTCTTCCGTTGATTGTTCAGGAAGTTTTTCTGTATTTTAGTTTTAATTCCAGTTTGTTCCTGGGAGCATGTCCATGCAGCATCCACTTACTCTGCTGCCATTTTTAATCCTAGTCAACTCTTTGTTTCTTGAGAGTAGTGACCTGTCTCTGTGTTACCAGTTTTGGTGTAGTGCTCACATCGAGTAGGCAGGTGGAACCTGGGTGAGCAAGGTGCACTGCTTTGCCTCCCTGAGCACTGTGAATTGTTCTCGAGGATTTGAGAGCTCTCTTGGCTCCACAGCAGATGCTGCTTTTCCTGGCTCCCTGGGAGAAGCCAGTTCCTTCTCTTGCATTCCCACTGAGCAGGCTCTAGCTCCAGGTATACGTCTGTTTCTCACTCAGTATCGAGGCTCAGAGCAGCCCTCAGAGCTGTCCTAGGTCACAAGTGGACTGGCATGAGTTTCAGGACTTCAGGAAGTCCCAGTCCCTCTCACCTGCCTGCAGCACTGCCCCATCTCCTAACTCAAGGAGAAGGGCTGTCAGGGCCTGTGGTTCCAAAGAGTGAGAGCTTCTCTTCTCTGGGCCTCAGTTTCCTTGTCTGTATAGTGAGGGGACTTGGGAACCTCTTAATTTGTCAACACCTTCCAGGATTATACTTCAGGGTCTTTTAGCCCCAAGTGTCCCTGAGCTTGGCATGTGTTAGACACTTGCCTCAGTTTCATTGAGTGATCAACACATTTCTGAGCAGGGTTAGAACCCAGGCGTCTGGCCTAGAAACCTCCTAAGCTTGGCGATTCTCTCAGGCCTCCCTAAAATTTAGTGACTCCTCCAGGCCAGCAAGAGCGCACTGTCAGTGCCACAGAAAGGAAGCAAGGCTGGAAACCTAAGCCTATGCTCAGTGTCCAGAACCTCACCAAGATCTTTGGCAGGTCATTTGTTAGTTTGTTAATCCTCACCTGAGGATATTTTTTTCCACTGATTTTTAGAAGAGTAGAAGGGAGGGAGAAGGAGAGAGAAACATCAGTGTGAGAAAGACACATCGATCGGTTGCGCCCCACATGTACCCTGACTGGGGTGGGGATCAAACCTGCCCTTGACCAGGAATTAACCCCACAACCCTTCAGTGTGCAGGCTGATGCTCTAACCATTGAGAAACACTGGCCAGGGCTGGCAGGTCTTTTAATTTGCCCATGCCTCTGGTTCCTTCTCTCTGGAGGTGCTGCCTTCCTCTCTTCCAACATTTCCAAAGTTGTGTTAAACTGCATACCAAAAGATGCGCAAGGGCCAAGGCTTCTGTGGCTAAAGAAGTGTGGGAAATCACCACTTTTTAAAGGTTCTGAGAAGTCCACAGGGAACATACTTGCTTTAACTTTAACATGGTGTTTCTCCATCTTATTTAACCTTAGAACCCAGATTTTGCACATCAGCATGCACCAGTGGTTCTTTTAAGCAGCTTTGGGATGTGCTAAAGCCTTCCCAGATGGGGCCGCTATGGGCTGGGGAGGGAATGACTGCTGGTAGGAAATGTGCTACTCCAGCACTTGGGAATGTCTCCACTCTCCTCTGCTTCTCGCTCCAGGTGGAGATGCTAGAACGGAAGTATGGGGGACGCCTCGTGACCCGCCATGCAGCCCGCACCATCCAGACAGCCTTCCGCCAGTACCAGATGAACAAGAATTTTGAGCGCCTGCGCAGCTCCATGTCGGAGAACCGTATGTCCCGCCGGATTGTGCTGTCCAACATGAGGATGCAGTTCTCCTTTGAAGGGCCTGAGAAGATGCACAGCTCCTACTTTGAAGGGAAGCAGGTCTCAGTGACCGATGACGGCTCTCAGCTAGGGGCCCTGGTGCCATCTGAGGGCAGTGACTTTGGTGAGCCACCATCCCTCAAGTCTTCAGCCCCATCCAGTGATTTCGCAGATGCCATCACTGAGCTGGAGGATGCCTTCTCCCGGCAAGTGAAATCCCTGGCCGAATCCATCGACGATGCCCTCAACTGCCGCAGCCTTCATGCTGAGGAAACGCCAGTCCCTGACACAGGGCGAGCCCGGGACACTGAGCCCCAGGCAGCCCTGCACACTGTGGACCACCACAAACTGGATGAGATGACAGCCTCGTACAGTGACGTCACCCTGTATATTGATGAGGAGGAATTGTCACCGCCTCTGCCCCTCTCCCAGGTGGGGCACCGGTCATCCAGTGCTGAGTTAGACCTGCAACTGCGGGCTGGGGGTGCCGCCCAGGAATACTGGGCCCTGGCTCACAAGGATGACAAGGGGGACACAGACACAAGCTGCCAGAGCACACCGTCGCTTGAGCAGCAGGAGCAGCGGCTGCGGGTGGAGCACCTCCCACTGCTCACCATCGAGCCTCCCAGCGACAGCTCAGTGGACCTCAGCGACCGCTCGGAACGTGGCTCACTCAAGAGGAAGAGTGCCTATGAGCGCAGTCTCAGTGGGCAGCAGGGCAGCCCCAAGCCCGGCCCCCACTGTGGCCCCCCTAAGGGCCTGCCCCGGGAGGAGCCAGAGTTGCGAGCCCGGCCTTCCAGGCCCCTCGATAGCCACCTGGCCATCAATGGCTCAGCCAACAGGCAGAGCAAGTCTGAGTCAGACTACTCAGATGGGGACAACGACAGCATCAACAGCACTTCCAATTCCAATGACACCATCAACTGCAGCTCTGAGTCGTCATCCCGCGACAGCCTGCGGGAGCAGACGCTCAGCAAGCAGACCTACCACAAGGAGACCCGCAACAGCTGGGATTCACCTGCCTTCAGCAACGATGTCATCCGTAAGAGGCACTATCGCATTGGTCTCAACCTCTTCAACAAGTGAGTGCCTGCCGGCCCTGCAGGGAAGAGGAGGGTGGGGCATTAACACCCAAGGGACCTTGGCAAGGCCTTCCTCTCATGCCCAAGTGTCTCCTTGAGCACCAGTGGGTGGCTCTGTAACAGTGCCTGGGAGAGCCAGTGCTGTTGGGCGGGGAGATGGGAGCCTGGTGAACAGGTTTGTGGGGAGAGCAGACACTAACAGGCTGAGCAGGGAAGAACAAGGGGCTTCTCTAAAGAGTTTGGAGCCCTGTCAACACCTAGAACAGTGACCAGTGCACAGCAGATGCTCAGGAAACTTGTGCAAAGGTTGATGCAATGTGTAATGCCATGCCTAGCTGTGAGCAGCAGGCTCCAGGGTTTGGATATTTTTCTCTGGGTGATCTGAGCAAGAGCGTGATGCAGTCTGTGTACAGCCTGGGCTTGGAGGCACGTGTCAGGGAAGGGAGGACACAGATAAACTTGTGCTGGCAGAAGTCCCAGCCAGCGTGAAGCCCTTTGGGAGGAGTGTGAGCGGGGTCTATTGAGGGGCCGCCACCCGCCATGAGTTCTGGAAAGGTGGTATAGGGGCAGTCGTGAGAGCAGAACAAAGGACAGAGACTGGCATTTAAAGCAGGCTATTATTCTTTTTTGTTTGTTTTTAGTTCTTACATTTATTTTTAATAAATCTTTACTGTTTAAAGTATTACATCTGTCCCCCTTTTTTCCCCATTGATCCCTTCAGCCTGCCCCTGCTCCCCACCCCAGGCCTTCAGCACCCTATTGTCTGTGTTCATGGGTTATGCATATATGTATACAAGGTTTTTGGTTGATTACCTCCTACTCATCCACCCTCCCCTGCCTTCCCGCTGAGATTCCCCACTTTGCTTCATGCTTCCACACCTCTGGATCCACTCGGTTCATCAGTTTATTTTGTTACTTAGATTCCACATATGAGTGCAATCATGTGATACTTGTCTTTCTCTGGCTGACTTATTTCACTTAGCATGATACTCTCCAGGTCTCTCTCTGCTGTTTCAAGGGGTAAGAGATTCTCCTTTTTTACTGCTGCATAGTATTCCATGGTATAAATGTACCACAGCTTTTTTATCCACTCATCTACTGATGGGCACTTGGGCTGTTTCCAGATCTTAGCTATTGTAAATTGTGCTCTATGAACATAGGGGTGCATACATTCTTTCTGATTGGTGCTCTGGGTTTCTTAGGATATATTCCTAGAAGTGGGATCACTGGGTCAAATGGCATTTCCATATATTTTTTTTCTTAGTAAACTCCATACTGTTTTCCATAATGGCTGCACCAGTCTGCATTCCCACTAGCAGTGTACTAGGGTTCCTTTTTCTCTATATCCTTGCCAGCACTTGTCATTTGTGGATTTGTTGATGGTAGCCAAATTCAAAGCACTGCCATAAGTAGCAACCTGAAGGGGAAGGAGCTAGACACTCCCTTGGAGGAGATGTTGGAAAGCTCTGGTTATTGAACCTCAGATTTCACATCATTTCCTTTCACGGGGCCTCCGGGATTTGGGGTTACCAGACACGCGCTTGGTTCTGACCCCTCCAGGGTTGAGGACATGGCCAGCTTGCCAGGTGGTTACTAACACACATTTACCACACTTTCCTGCTTCCTCATCTCCTAGAGTGGGGGAGTCTTATGGGCACTTTTGAGCCATCCCTGGTGCAAGTGGAAGTGCTCTCTGGGGGATTCAGAGAGGTGTGTCCCAGAGCGCAGGAACAGGGAATGTTGCGTTCCTGTGGGGTTGGCCAGTGGTCTGGCGGTCATTGGTCATCACTCAGCTCAGAACTAAGAGTCTTGGACACCTGACATCTGCCATGGGTGCTGTTTCCTGCCTGTGGTCTGCTGCACATAAGGACCAGCCCTGGCCCTGTGCGAGTTGTGGCTAAACAGCAGGGAAGGTCATGTCAGAGCCTATCCTGAGCTCTGTCCAAAAAGTCTGCCCCACCTGCTCCAGGATACAGCCAGCTCCTGGATCAACTTAGACCCAGGCCTGTGCCCTCCTGGGGGAGGCTGAGATGACCTGGGGGTTTTCTGGTCCCTGGCAGATACCGTGTTCTTTCTTATGTGGGAACTCCCAACTGAGTGGACAGGTAGAGGCCAGAAAAAAAAGTCTCCCTCAACCACCCAGTAGATTGTTTCTCACTCTATTAGTCTTTTTTTTTTTTTTTTACTTGAATTTATTGGCGTGGCATTGTTACTGGAAAGGGGACCTGGCCCTTGGCAGGTCTACCTAGTAGGGCCAGCCATTAGCGTGTGGTTTCTTGACTTTGTGCAGGAAAAATTTCACAACAGAGTCCAGGTGAAGGTTAAAGGGTGTTTATTAAAGCTGGGGACATGTAACAGGAAGGGGCTGGGGAAATGAGCCTAGGCCAGTCTGCTTTGGCACACTATGAAATCAGAGAAAAGGGGGCTTTGGGAAGAGGGTCAGGGGGTGTGCCAGGATGAACTGCCACTGCCTATTGCTACCCTGGTTGCAAGCCTCATGAGGTCCCTTAGAGTTTAGGAGATGCATGACTGTGAGGGAAGAAGGTGGGGAGAGGTGAGGGCATGCTCCTGGGAGGGAGAGCGCTGGTTGATTTGGAGAAGTCGGTCTAGGCTGTTGGCAGACAGTTGGTGTGAGGGACACTGGAAGCAGGAGGGGCCTTACTACCCTGCCCAGTGTGGCCCAGGGCCAGCAAGGTCCCAACAGGTAGACTCAACACCAGCAGATAGGCAGCACATTGGCTGTATGCTGTCAGAGAGGTCACTCCAAGACCTGTCAGAGGCTCCCTTTGCCAGCCACGTTCATCCTGACCTTGAAACCCCTCAGCTTGGCTTGGCCTCCCCACCCCACCTAGTTCCTTACCTGTCCCTTCTGCCACCAGCCTTTCCTCTCTATTGTTTGGTGAGCTCCTGTCATGGTCAAGGTGCAGTCAGTCCCGAGTCCTCTCCTGCGTTGTCACTGTGAGACCTTCCAGGTGGAGCTAGTCCCTCCCACATGTGGTTCAGGCTAAAAGCTGGGGCCATTGGGTTCACATATGGATCCACTAGCAAATATTGTCATTTCTACCCTCAAATTATGTCCTAAATCATCTGTGTCCCCCCACCTTGTGCACCACTGCCTGGAGGCCTACGGGAGTCTCCTAGCTTGGGCCTGGCCTTGCTCCCTACAGAGCAGCCAGCAAGAGTTTCTTAAATATGGACATCAGGTCCTGTCACTGCCACACTCATCCCACTCTGAAGAAAACCAGATTACTCATGTGGTCTACACAGCACTGTGTGGTCTACCCTCACCCCTACACTGCCCTCCTTTCCCTGTGCCTCAGAGCCCTTACTCTCAGCTACCCTGTACCAGCCTCTTGGTCCTCAGTCCTGCAGAACCCATTCCCACCCTAGGGCCTTTACATTTGCTATTGCCTCACCTTGGTCACTGAGTGTCACCTGCTCAGAGAAGGCCTCTAGTTCACTTGCAGGAGCCCCTCCCCACATCCTCTGGCCAGCACTCAGTTCCTTTGCTCTTCAGACTGGGGGCGGCAGCCTGCCATTGTGCTGGGCAGTTGTGGCTGGGCAGTCGTGGCTGGCCCAGCTCCCTGTTGTTGTCCCAAGTGGTGTCTGGCACAGAGGGGAGACATGGTGCTTGACCTGGGAAGGATCTGTGTTTCCAGGGCCCCTTGCACAGCTGCTCCTTCCTGCAGTGTGTCCTCTCCCATTGCACTTGGAGCTTCTCTGGGGTAGAAGATGCCGTCTCCCAGAAATCCATGATGCTACATGACATTTCACATGAACACAGGAGGGGCTGGGTGAGGGCAGAGAAGGGAGAGTAGGCCCCAACCCTGGGAGCAGCAGCAGGCTGGGCTTAGACCTGAACACTGTATTGGGGCCATCAAGGGGCCGGGCAGGCCAGGTGTGGGTGAGTGATTCAGGGAGGCCTAGGGCAGCCCTCCAGTCATTGCCATGCAGGAACACAGACCCGGGGTGACCCCTCATTTCGAAGTTGAGGGAGGGAGGGAGGCATGGGCTGGGGTCCTGTGGAGGCCAGTGTGGAGTGGATTAGTGAGGAAGCTCCTGCCCTGACCATACTGTCATCTTGCCAAGTGGCTGGAGAGACCTGGAGTATGGGGGTTTCTTCGTCAGAGACCACAGAGTCATGGGGAAGAATGAGTTATGTGGGGGGGCCCTGGCAGGGGTGAGGGAACAGGGCCACTCTGTCACCACTTTAGTGCCAGGAACCATCTGGCTGGCAGCTGCTCCCCACCGAGCTCCTGAGGGTGAGGTCAGGGTGTGTGGTCATCCAGGATAAAAATAGCAGGGTCACCTTGCAGCAGGAGGTTCACTTTTGCTTGTGTGTGGAAATCCAGTATCTGCAAGACACTCCTGTCAGCCAGGAGCTGTGCATTGAGGAGGCAGGTTGATACTGGCCATCTCCATGCCCCCAGGTAACAGAATACTGACCACTGGGACATGGGTATGGCCAGCCCCCAGTTAGTGGGTGGTTCGACTTATCCCATGCTGGTATGGGTGCCAGGTGTACCCTAAGTCCTCCTCAACTCCTCAGGTTTTGGTGTCAGAGGAGGGCACCTGCCCTCCAAGAATCACATTTGTAGCCCTCTCTCCTCACCCTGTCTCCTGGGACCACCAACCTCCTTGTGAGTTCAGCCAGGCTCATGTCATACTACGCAACCAATAGGAGGATGGAGGCCCAAAGGGAGGAGGGACCTGCCTGGGCTCACTGCCAAGCCCCTGGGGGGCTTCTCTGCCCCACAGCTCCCTGTGCAGGTGGACACACCTAGTCCCTCTGTGAAGCCCTCATCCACTGCCCAGGCAGGGCTTGTGCCATGCCTCCATTTCCTCTCATAAGTTGAGGCTAATCCTAAGAACCTCTCACAGTGCTTACTGTGGCATCATTCTAGGAACTGACTGTTAGCAAGTTCTTACAACAAGGCAAGGTAACAAGGTTGTTGGGCCCCTAAACAGCACAGGTAACAAGTGTGCTGACCCCAAGGAGGAGTGTAAGAATTAAGTAAGTTAGTGGGTATAGAGTGCTTAGACCAGTGATGGCGAACCTTTTGAGCTCGGCGTGTCAGCATTTTGAAAAACCCTAACTTAACTCTGGTGCCATGTCACATATAGAAATTTTTTTGATATTTGCAACCATAGTAAAACAAAGACTTATATTTTTGATATTTATTTTATATATTTAAATGCCATTTAACAAAGAAAAATCAACCAAAAAAATGAGTTCACGTGTCACCTCTGACACGCGTGTCATAGGTTCGCCATCACTGGCTTAGACAGTGATGCACAGAGTAAGTGCTCAGCAGGTGTTTGAGATTGTTTTTTCTATGTAGGTGGATGGAGGACAGTAGAAGGCAGACTAGCATGTGCTGGGCAAGGTGTTCAACTCTGCCTGGAGGTGCAGCATGGGGCACCAGCTTCTACTCAGTGGGGAGCATAAAGTGGGTGGGCAGGGGCCGGTTATGGGGCCAGGGTTTGGGGTAGTGCAGGGCAGCTGAGGAGGGTCCCTGCTCTAGCACCCATGGCTATGCTCCTGTGGCTGACCCAGTCTTGTCCATTCTTGGCGCAGGGTCTGGTAAGTTCTAGGTTCCCCCATGTTGCAGGTTGGGAATGGGACAGGGTGCCTGAGTCAGGGTCTCAGCTGGGGTGCCTTGGAGTGCCCACAGAGGTAAGAGCAAGCCTGGAGGGGCCGGAGCTGCCACGGCTGAGCCTGTCTTTTATCTCCCCCCCCCCCCGCCCCCAGGAAGCCTGAGAAGGGCATCCAGTACCTCATTGAGCGTGGCTTTGTGCCAGACACACCAGTGGGAGTAGCCCACTTCCTGTTGCAACGCAAGGGCCTGAGCCGGCAGATGATTGGCGAGTTCCTGGGCAACAGGCAGAAGCAATTCAACCGCGATGTGCTGGAGTGAGTTATGGGACTGGGGGTTGGGCCGGCATGGACGTGTTCCTGTGAGACTCCATGACCCTCAGGCCTGCCCTGCTGCTGGGACATATACCGAACCCTCCCCTTACCTCTTTCTAGCTCCTAGACACCCATACCATCTCACACATACCTTGCCAGGCATACATGTGGGCATCTACCCTTGGGCGCCCCCCCTTCACACACCTTTAGCACCTCCACTCCTCTTCAGGCAGACTGAGCCACTGAGCACTCAGTGAGGAAGGGGTGTGCAAGGTCAGGGCCTTGACAGATGCCCTTTGATGGAGGAGGGGAGCTGGCCAAGACTCCAGCACCTCCAAGATGGGCAGCACCACACCCAGATCACTGCCTCTGCTTCTCTCTCTTGCCTCTCCTGGATGGGAGATCAGGGGGTAAAAGTCCAACCCCCATCTCATCACTCCACATTTCACCAGCTCAGAGAGCTGGCAGCCATAGCACTCAGCTGCTTGGAACCCTGCAGAAAAATGGGTTTCCAGTTCCCTGGGAGCTGCTGGCAGTTTTGAGAAGTCTGCCCAGCATGTACCCTACACTCTCCACTCCTCTTTGAGACTCCTGAGTAGAAAGGCACCTGCATTTGGCCCTTGTGTTTACTATGTTCTCATCTCACCCATGGGGGTGGATGTCAGGGATTGATGACCCCCTTTCACAGATGAGAAGCCAAAGTCAGTGGAATGGGATGGCTCAGTACATGTGTTTGCTCACCCTTTGCCGAGACCTGAGGGATTTTCCCCAGGCCTGTTGTTGAAGCGTTTTCTTTTCTTTTTTTTTTTTTTTAATATATTTTTATTGATTTTTTACAGAGAGGAAGGGAGAGGGATAGAGAGTTAGAAACATCGATGAGAGAGAAACATCGATCAGCTGCCTCCTGCATACCCCCTACTGGGGATGTGCCTGCAACCAAGGTACATGCCCTTGACCGGAATCGAACCTGGGACCCTTGAGTCCGCAGGCTGACGCTCTATCCACTGAGCCAAACCGGTTAGGGCTTGAAGTGTTTTCTGACCCAAGCAGTTATGAGCTGATATGCTGACCTTGGGCAGATAGTCCAGAAACAGAAATAAAAGCAGAGTAAAGAGCTAACCATCAGTAACAGTGGCTTCCATCTGTCCAGCCCCTGCCTCATCTGGGAAAAGGACAAGCAAGGGGTGGCCCCCTGAAGTCAGGCCCTCTCTGCAATGAGGAAGGGCCTGGCCACATGTATACCTGCTGCCTTTGATGCTCCCCTGGGGGAGGTAGGTGAGTGCTGTGGCCTCTTTGTACCACAGGTGAGGAAACCCAGGATCAAAGGGAGAGGGCCTGGCCTGGGTGCACCCTCCCTCCCCCCAAACACACACGGCCTCATATATACACATACATACTCATGCAGTCACATGCAAATGCACACACACTGGAGTATGGCTGGTATGTGTCTAGTACCCAGCAGAACGAAGCCTGCATCCTTTCTTGGCCAGGTGTGCCCATCTGGGCTGCTTTCTTCCTGCTCAGCTCAGCGTTTCTGTTCTGGCCTCATTCCGGAAAGCCTGCTGGGTTGTTAGTATGGTTAATCTCCTCCCCACCCCATCCCCCTTCCTTTTAAATTGGTATGAGGAAATGGTTCAGGGGAACACAGATTAGCTCCTTAGTGAATTGGGCCTAAAATCCTTGCAGTGCAGCCCCCCTCCCCTATAGCTATTTCTGCACTCCCCTCTGTGCCCTGGCTTCTGGTCTGAAGGAAATCCGTGCATTGTTCTCCTTGGATCAGAAAATAGCAGTGACCTCAGAAAGTAGTGAGGTTCCTCCCACCTCTACCCTCCACACCAGCATCCTACTCAGGAGCTGGTCAGCAGATTGTCCCAGGTGGCCCCCCCACCTCCTAACTTTCCCCACAAAAAGCCCTTAGTGCTCAGAGAAGATTGGGGGCACAACAGCTTATCATAAGCCCATCACCCCCAGTGGAGGTAGGCTTTGGGTGTGGAATTAGGTCCCCTATGGCTGACGCCTCCACAGCCCCAAGGGTGGCTATGGCTTTGTTATAAACATAAACAGACACCAGTTTATGCTGCTTGGGTCCTTAGTTCGGACCCCACATTCTCTGTGTCCTGATCAGAGAACCGAGCGGGCTGTAATGTGGAAGCTTGGCTGTGATAAGAACCAGAGGCCTCCCCAAGCTCTGCCCTTCACCCTTCTGATAGGCACATGAGGATGGTTTCAGAAACACCCAGCCACCTCTTCCCATACCCTTGGCGTGAAGCACAGGCTCTGTGTGAGACTACTGTGTGGAGAGTTAGTGCCCAGCCTCCACTTCCTTCTTGTGAGGATGGGCGTGTGCTCCTGGCTCCCTCAGAACACCAGAAGACTCCTGCATTACGTCTGCATTACATCTGTGTAACATTTGTTTCTGCACAAAGGGTCCTTATTTTTTTAAAAAAATATATATTTTATTGATTTTTTACAGAGAGGAAGGGAGAGGGATAGAGAGTTAGAAACATCGATGAAAGAGAAACATCGATCAGCTGCCTCCTGCACACCCCCTACTGGGGATGTGCCTGCAGCCAAGGTACATGCCCTTGACTGGAATCGAACCCGGGACCCTTGAGTCCGCAGGCTGATGCTCTATCCACTGAGCCAAACCGGTCAGGGCAAAGGGTCCTTATTAAGAATAGTTGTATGCTCTGGCTCCCTGTATGTCTAGAAAATTGCACACATAGATATAAACATTAACATTTCCTACAGTTTCAGGGCTTTATGGATTCCCCAGAAGCACAGGGATCTTTGGCCATAATCTGAATAGTTTGCTGATTGGAGGAAGCTAAGCAGATGCCCTCCCAGACAAGTGGCAGCCTTGCCTCTATGGCCCTCCAGGCAGCTCCCTGGCTCCCTTTCATCAACCCCTCTGCTCCACTCTCTGCAAGCATGTGCTCACCTAGCCTAGTGGGAAGGCAGCAGAGGCTGTAGGCAGCAGACACTGACATGGCCTTGTCTTGTTTCAGCTGCGTGGTGGATGAGATGGACTTCTCTGCCATGGAGCTGGACGAAGCCCTCAGAAAGTTCCAGGCGCATATCCGGGTCCAGGGGGAGGCGCAGAAGGTGGAGCGGCTCATCGAGGCCTTCAGGTTGGGGCTGCAGCGGGGCAGGGGGAGGGCATCAGGGAGAGGAAGGTTCCTAGCAAAGGGTTGAATCCCTTTAGCCCCCTTCACAGGATCGGGTGGCCCTGAACTCACCTGGGAGGTGAGCCAGAAGCCCCTCCTGGGTGCCAGGAACTTTGCTAGTTAGTGCTACAGCCAGGGTTTTTTAAGTCTTTGTCTTCCTCCAAGTCCTCATGAGCCTCATCCATTCATGAGTCCATCTGTGTTTTCCTTCATCTGCCCTTTTACGGGGCAGCTGCTCTCTCACAGTGACTCAGAGCATGAGCTGCAGAGCCAGATGACCAGGTTCTAATACCCACTCCACCACTTACCAGCTGTGTGACCTTTTGCTTATTAACCTCTCTGTGCCTTGAGTCCTTGCCTATAGGGTGGGGATAACGAGTACCTACCCTAGACAGGGTGGAAGGCTTAACCCACTTAGGATGTGTGGGCACACAGCCCAGAGAGCCTGCATTCAAGGTCACCGCACGGTCTTCCATCCTGGGACTGTGTGTACATTGTGTAGGGGTCTCTGTGTTCCTTGTTGGGTGTGACAGACACAAGTCAACTGCTGCTCCAGCACTCTGGGCTCAGCACCAGTGGTGGGCCAAGGAGGAATGAAGACACAGGAGGAGGGCAGTCCCAGGGTCTAGAAGAGGGATGTTCAGCCACTTCCTTCCAGGAGGGTTTCTTGGAAGGGGTGTCACAAGGAAGACAGAATTGAAGCCCACGTTGCCTGAGCACTGATGGCTATTGCTTCAGTGGCAATGCCCCACCTGGCTCCTCTTCTCTGTTTCTGCCCCTCTCGCCATGCCTCCATGAGGTTACCAGTGAGAGGCCTCTTAGAGGTGAGGGCGAGGGTGCATTTGAGGCAGTGAGTACAGTGCGCAGATGACTCAGTGAGGCTGTTGGTTCAGGTGTCTAAGAAGCTGCCCAGAAGCTACAGCTGAAACAAGATGGAAGTGCATCTCCCTCTTAGCTGGTGCAGGGAGCAGGCTCTTTTCATCTCACCCCGGTTCCAGGCAGGGCAAGGGAGTGGAGGGCACACCCCTGCCGTTTAAGACACAGTCTTGAAAGTGCCCATATCCCGTTGGCCAGAACTTAGTCACGTGGTTGTACCAGCTCCTAGGGAGCCTGGGGAACGTTGTCTTCCCCCGAAAGCCATTGCCAGCTACAGTACAGGTGAGAGGGGTGAGTGGGTAGGTAGTCAGGGCAGCTCTGCCAGGCAGGTATTGTACTTGCTTACCAGCTACGGTGCAGGTGAGAGGGTGAGTGTGTAGTCAGGGCAGCTCTGCCAGGCAGGTATTGTCCTTGCTTACCAGCTACAGTGCAGGTGAGAGGGTGAGTGTGTAGTCAGGGCAGCTCTGCCAGGCAGGTATTGTCCTTGCTTACCAGCTACAGTGCAGGTGAGAGGGTGAGTGTGTAGTCAGGGCAGCTCTGCCAGGCAGGTGTTGTCCCTGTTTACCAGGTGCAGGAGCTGAGCCTCAGCTGTTCAGTGCCAGGTGGAGCTATGGCAACTACTCATGAGTGACAGGCAGATCTACTCCCTGCCCCAACTGAAGGAGCCCTGACCCGCCTCCCTTTCCCCGGCCCCCAGCCAGCGGTACTGCATCTGCAACCCTGGGGTGGTGCGGCAGTTCCGGAACCCAGACACCATCTTCATCCTGGCCTTCGCCATCATCCTGCTCAACACAGACATGTACAGCCCCAACGTCAAGCCTGAGCGCAAGATGAAGCTGGAGGACTTCGTCAAGAACCTCCGAGGTGAGCTGTCGCGGCCCCAGGCTCAGACACACACCTCCACAGACACCTCTGAGCATGAGCCCCACCATGTGTGGGGCTGAGAGGCAAATTTATATTACCTCCTGCTGGGTGCAGGGGAGAGCTAGGAGGCCTGGCTGCAGCATACCCAGTTCTTGCTCAGATGGGCTTTCAAGCAGTGTTGGTCTCAACAATGCGTGCACAAAATACAAATTACCATGAAGAGAAAGTGTTGCCTGAGTCTTGGGATGCAGGAAACCTAACTCCTGGAGAAGATGATGATTTTAGCCTGTTATTAAAGGATGAACAGGGGTTTGGCAGGTCCAGGTGGAGGGGAATTAGTCACAAGGGGGCAGAGACTGGAGAAACCAGATCATCACAGCACCAGAAGGCCAGGCCAGGCCAGGCATAGGTTGACCAAGGCCTATTTGGAAGTATGTGTAGGAGCACAGAATGGAGCCTAGGTGCTGGGAGCCCTGGGACCTCCAGCAGGCGGAAGCTGGACAGACGGGCCAGCACATCCCAGCCCATCACTGCTGCATCCCTCACAGCATCTGCCCAGCTACTCATCCTGTACACTTCATGTTCCTCTTGAAACTGTCTTGCCTTTTTGTTTTTGTCCATTTATTTAAATATGTTTTTAAAGGAACTTTATATCACCACTGTAAATGGCAAACCAGTAGCATTTGTCACACATAGGCAGTCATTATGAAAATGAATACAATGAAAATACCACTGTTGATTCCAGCAGGAGCTGTTTCTGGCTGGGCCCTGAGGCTGAGGCTGCCCTCTCTTCCTGGCAGGTGGGCCCATGTCAGGTACTGATGAGGTAGGCTGCCAGGGTTCTTGTTCCAGCGTTAAGAAGGGTTCAGCAGTCTGGAGAAGGCTGTGCGTAGATTAAATAGGAGTCCGGAGACGAAATATAATTTTGAATGGCATTTGGGGGTCAGAGGAGCTTAGTTTAAAGGAAACTAAGATCTAAGTTCTAAGGTCTAAGATCTCAGGTCTCCTCGTCCCAGGACCCCATGCTTTTTATTAACACAAATTGTCCTGAGGCGAGGCAGAGATATACACTTCAAAGGGTCAGGGTTTCCAATACAGAGGCATTGTCAGAATGGGGGAATTAGTCTACAGCTGTTCAGGTGTTTGGCCAGTAGGAGGCAATAACATGTAGATTAAGATGCCCTGAGCTGTCTGGCAGCCAACAATCATCCCTTTTCAGGTTTGGGGAAATGCCATCAGCCATTCCCAGATTCAGCCCTGCTGTCATGCTGGAATTGGTTTCCGGCAGTAGGCAGCAAGAAGGGAGGCCTTCTTGGCGTTGGATAGGGAAGGAATCGAAAAGGGAACAGCTGTCTTCCAGCTGACTCCATGTTGGCTGATGGCATGGGCCTTGTGTACCTGGAGTTCCTGGAAAGAAGGGAGGAGGAGCTGGGTCCTCTCCTTGGGAAATACCAGCTGCAGCGGGCTGAGGTCCCCTTTAAATGGCATCATATTTTAATTTTTTTTCACCCAGAAGTTCTTAATTTATTAATCCTTTCATGGAAATCTGCACAGTCACCACAGATCAAGTCCCTGAAGAATCTTGACTCCTGCGGTCCCATCTCCAGCTCACTCTCTGCAGCACCCACACTGGCCTCTGCAGCCCCTGGCTCTCTTCATCCTGTTCTTGTGTTCCTTCTGTTTTCTTGAGGTCTTCTTCTCATACAGGTCATGTCTTGCAAGTCTATGTTTGGGTTCATTTTTCTTTGTGTAATCAAAGGAGTTATAAATCATGCCAAAGCCAGCTGTCTAGCCACCACCAAAATGGGTTCTGAATCCAAATACAAAGATGACATCTGGTGTAGTCTTATACAATTTGGTAGTTTTCCCTGAATTTCTGTCTTGGGTACTGATGCCTTCCCAGGGTGAAGGACATCAATGATCATTTGTTTACGCCGAAGTAGTCTGTTGGCAATGAACTTCCTGGTCCAGATAGTTACTGTGCTGGTCATGATGGCGGCCGATCTTCAAGCAGCCAGGAGGAGGTATCATATTTTTTAAAAAGAAACAAAAGTTGGTCTAAATCAAGTCCAACTGTGAGCTTGTTGAGCTGTTTAAAATTTCTACTCTTCTCCTTTATTTTTGTAGTACAGGCTGCTCTGTCAATCCCTCTCCTGGGTCAGATAACTCTCTCTGATCTGTAGGTCCTTGGTGCACCCCCTAGTGGTGGGCACTGCCATAACACAAAGGCTGGAGAGAGCAGAGGCCACCAGGACATAGGGAGGAGCACTTCCGCCCCTCCCAAGCTTGGCTGGCCCCTGAGGGCAGGGAAGCTCACTTCAGAGCACTCAGATGGTCACTCCCTGCATGGAGCACTCACTGTGTGAGGCCTTCTGCTAGGTCAAAGGACTTGGCAAGCCCCTCCCCATAGCCTCGTCAACAGTTTTACTAATCCTTTGGTTGAGCTAGTCTGTGGTCTGAGGATGGATGTGGGTTTGTGTTTCTCCTGTGAGTAGGGCTGAGTTTCTTTTCTCACAGCAGTTTTCATAGTGGTGTAGCAGAAGGTATGCACTTGTTGTCAGAGCAATCCAGGTTTGAGTCTTGCCCCTGGATTCTGCCCATGTGATGTGGGACAACAGCTGGCAAATGCACCAAGATCTCACTCTGAGGGGCATGCCAAGAGCTGCTCACACTTCTCACCACAGCTCTGAGAAGCCACCCATGTTCTTGGTGGTCTTTTTCACAGATGCTCAGCTCAGAAAGATTGAGTCACAAGGCTAACAAGGGGCGAAGTGAGGATGGGCCCAGTGTTGGAAACTAAACTTACAAAACCCTCCCCTCACCACAAACCCAACCTCTTCCCCAGGCCTTGGCTTTCTCATCTATGGAATGGGGATGGTATGCCCACCCCACGGGGCTGTGGGCAGGATCAGCAAGGTAATATTTATAAAGCCCTCTATCAGCCCTCCTGTGCTGGTCCAGGTGGCTGTGCTGGCCTTGTCCCTGGTGGAAGGATTCTGAGGAATTTGTGGTTGACTGAGGATGTTTAGTAGCTGTGGGTCTGGAAGGTCTGTGGTTCTGCTGGGACTGGTGAAAGGGATCACTGTTCTGAATTGGGTTAGAAACTGGTAAATTGGAGTAAGCCTGGGGCTTGAGACTGAAGGGACCACCCAGACCCTAGCCCAGTGATGGCGAACCTATGACACACGTGTCAGAGGTGACACTCGAACTCATTTTTTTGGTTGATTTTTCTTTGTTAAATGGCATTTAAATATATAAAATAAATATCAAAAATATAAGTCTTTGTTTTACTATGGTTGCAAATATCAAAAAATTTCTATATGTGACACGGCACCAGAGTTAAGTTAGGGTTTTTCAAAATGCTGACACGCCGAGCTCAAAAGGTTTGCCATCACTGCCCTAGCCTGACTAACGCCTGGCCACTGTCTCCTGCCTAGGTGTAGACGATGGTGAGGACATTCCCCGAGAGACACTGATTGGTATCTATGAACGGATTCGCAAGCGGGAGCTGAAGACCAATGAGGACCACGTGTCCCAGGTGCAGAAGGTGGAGAAGCTTATCGTGGGGAAGAAGCCGGTATGTGGTGGCCCTATGTCCCAGGGGAGTTGCTGGGGGCATGAGTTGCTCACATCCCCCTTCCCACCCAGCGCCCTTCTGCCAGTGGCCCTGATGCCCCTTCCAGGCAGGGCTGGTGAATTCTTTCAGGATTTGGGTTTCTTTAAAAGACTTCTAATATTTGGGAATAACAGCCATTTGCTCTGGGTTAAAGTTGGAGAAGCTGAGGATTTTAATAAACCAATGGGCAGGGTTGCACAGTTCCTTGGTGACTTGGGAATGCCCTCAGCCTGCCAGTGAGAGGGCCTTCCCTGCCCACCCCCTTGGGTGTGGCTGGATAGAGCTAAGGAAAGATGCCGTGGGAGGGCATTGCCTCTCAGGCACCCAGGTGCATCTTTTGCAACATTGATTTTTTTCTTTGTTTGCTATTTCCCCATTTAGATTGGATCCCTGCATCATGGGCTTGGCTGTGTGAGTATCCCTCTGCTTTCACGTTCTGACTAATATCTCACCCTAGGGGTGCCCCATGTGCCCACATCTTCCTGCTCCCAGATCCACAGTTCTGGCTGCTTGAGTTAATTCTGCAGCAATAAGAAATATGATTTTCATAATTAACCCAGACTCAAATCTCTGCAGGCCCAGAGATTACAGTCTGTGCTGTCAGGCTGAAAGCAGTCTCCTTCCCTCTCCTCTGAGCCCAGTTGAGCTCAGAGACCCAGGTTGGTCCCCAGACACTGAGACACTGATGTTTATTGGAGGGCCTTCTCTTTCCCCACCCAGCCCAAGCTCTGTCCCCAAAATGTGCTTCTGTGACCTGCCCTTGTCCACCTCTCCAGCCCCAAAAGCCATCATCCTCTTTACTTTGTACTTTTGCTCCAGACAGTATTGTTCCCTGAATCAGCCCTCCTGCGTTTGTGCCAGGCTCGGCCATGCATTTCCCTCCCCTTATCTTGTCTTCTTAATGTACTGAGCTCGGGCACCCTTCTACCAGGGCACCCTTGCAGAGTTGGCACCTTTTGCAGAGTTAATGCTCCTTGGCTACTACTATGCTTACCCTCTGGGGGTCTTAACTGGGCATGTACTGTCTCCTTACTGACCCATCTGTCTCCTGTGGCTTTAGGATCACTCCCAGAGCCACAAGTGGGCCTACATGATGGTTTATCATACCAGGCCTTGATAGCAGCTTGTACTTCGGCAAGGTCGGGGGCTCTTTGAATCTGTGACAGGTGTGTTCAGAGGCAGGTGTACAGAGCAGAGGGTCAGACCAGGCCCCACAGAGCAGTGACTGCTGGCTCAAGTTTGGATAGGGTCTTTCATGCTTCAGAAATGTTAATCATTTAGGAGGGGTCTGGAGAATGGGACAACTCCGAGGCTCTGCAGCTCCTCGTGTGTGGCTGAGGCAAGTTGTCAGCTTCTCTGTGCCTCAGTTTCCTCATCTAGGGTAGATTCCCTCTAGAAAAAAATATTTACAGGAGACTAATGGGCGCTTTGGGGACTCAGAAAACAAACATTCCCCTCTGGCTGGGGCTCACATGTGAAGATGGTTCTCTAAGGAGTCTGGTACCTGCCTGAAAGAATCGAGCAGAGGTCTCACCAGAAGGGGCACCCTTACCCTGGCTCTACAGGACAGGCGGGAAAACAGCTGCAAGCCAGAAACATGGTCTATTCTGCATGGTCTGTAAGAAAAGGTGTTTGGAACACAGGCCCAAGGGCTGGGCTCCTCACATTCAGGCTAGACTCTGTGCTACCCAGGCTCCAGAGGCAGGGCAGGCTGCTGAGGACACACTTCCCTTCCCCCCACAGGTTCTCTCTCTGCCTCACCGGCGGTTGGTCTGCTACTGCCGACTCTTCGAGGTTCCAGACCCAAATAAGCCCCAGAAACTCGGACTGCATCAGCGAGAAATCTTCCTGTTTAATGACCTCCTAGTGGTACGTGGTTCCCCACGAATTCATGGCTGACAGCTGTTAAGCAGGGAGACCTGGCTATGTGCCTGCACGTGGGGAAATGCCCACACAGGTGTGGGGTGGAGGTGATGGGGTGGAGTTAGCCCAGGTCTTTGGGTTGCCAGGAGCAGAATCTAACACAGACTGCTACCATTGAAAATGGGGCTTTGTTGGCTTATGTAAAAGTCCAGAAGGGGATTTGGAGCCTCAGCCCTGGCTATTCCAGAGGCTCAAACATGTCAGCAGGACTCCTTTTGATGACCTCCATTGCTCAGCTGTGTAGGTTCCTCCTCTGTGTGGACTCCCTTCTCAGGCAGGCTTCATCCTAGAAGGGAAAGTCGACCTTGGCTGCTCCAGGCTTAATTTTATCTCCTCAGCCACCAGTAGGATTCACTTGTTAAAAATCCCAGCAACGGTCTTGTTGTTTCCATTGCCAGAGCTAGTCATGAGGCCAGGCAGGTGTGGTGCTGTCAAAGTGCCTAAGCCTGGATCACAGTCCCCAGGACTAATGGATTGAGGGTGGCAGACGGGGGTTCCCCAAAGGGAGATTGAGGAGTGCTTGCCCCCCAAAAAAGGCAGCACGGATGTGAGCCAGTGGGGATGAAGATGCCTCTGCAAAGAACAGGGGAAACCTGTTCTTGGATCTTTGTCCCCCTGCATGCCACAGACTTTCCTGCTGGAGGACCCTGTCCCTAGTCCCCACCTGCTTGAGGATCAGCCTCACTTTTGTGATTCCTGAGGTGGGAACCAGATGTGTGGGTTCAAGTTATTTTTAAGCATCCTGACCTTGAGCAAGCCACTTCACACCTCTGAATCTGTTTCCTTTGTGAAATTAATCTCCGAGGGCACAGTGATCAGACAGGATCCTGGACATGAGACCCTTGCACGACATCTTCAGTGCCACATGCGATAATGTGACTGCCAGCTCTCTGCTGGGTTGAGGGGCTTTGTAGCCAGCCAGGATGGCACTAGGGTCTGGCAGGAACAGAAAGCTGTCCACGTCAAGGAGTGAGTGGGCGTGTGTTCCTCCCCGTGTCAAGTCCTTCCTCCTGCAGGGCCTCCTGACTTCTGAACCACAGAGTCATTCTTACAGAAGCACGTGGTCTCCAGCAGATCCATTTTCAGTCCTGAGCTCCCAGAGCTGCTCCAGGGCAGGGCAGATGGTGTGGCTCAGTCTCTGTCTCTGGCTGCCCCCAGGTCACCAAGATCTTCCAGAAGAAGAAGAACTCGGTGACATACAACTTCCGACAGTCTTTCTCCCTGTACGGCATGCAGGTCCTGCTCTTCGAGAGCCAGTGTAAGTGTGTGCGGCTTCCCGGGCCTGCTGTGCATGTGCTGGAGCACTGTGCGCACGAGGCCAAGACCCGCCTTACTCTCTCCTTCCTCCTGTGCCATCAAGGACAGAGCCCAGGGTAGCGTCGATGCTCTGAAAGGCAGCAGTAATTGGGAAGAATTTAATAACATTATATATGGTGCTCACTGGTTTACTTTTACTGTTACTTCTTGCAGGTGATAAGATACTTTAGGGCAGAGTAAATTTACTTAAATAAATGTTGATAAGAAAGCACGAAGTAAGTGGCATAGATGATATGCAAATGTGGGCAAACAGGTGAAGGTAATACAGGACTACAGGTCCAGGGCTGAGCCCCGGAGTGGACCACCAGGGTTCAAACTGGTTGTGTGGCCTGGCTGCTTAACCTCTCTGGGCTGCGTGTCCTTTATCTGTGACGTGGGTGATGCTACGCCATAGGGTTAGTGGCGTGTGGAACGCTTCTGGCAGAGGAAGCACTAGGTCAAGTACCACTGGAGACCTTCTCTGGGTGTGAATGGATCGTGGGTCTGGGGATTTTGGAAGGTAGTTGGCTCCTAACCAGGACACCCCCACTGACCTTATCTTTTGACCTTGCTCCTTCTCATGTCCCTGTTCTCCTTTTCCTCTCTCCTGGTGAAGGTCCCGAGTTGCAGGCTGACCCAGTCTTCCTAGGATGAGTGGGGGACGGTCCTGCTGGAGTGCCTGAGGGGAGGGTGGTAGGGTCTCCGCAGCAGGGCTGCCCCCATCCTCTCAAGACAGTTGGCTGTGGTGCCATGTGATCGGCCTTCCATCCACAAGTGGAAAGTTCAGGCTTGGATTTGGGGCTCTTTGTCTCTTCTTTGTCCTAAATGGGAACAGCACCTGCTGTTCCCTCTCCTTTCCCACATGTCTAGGAGAGGCCCAGCGTGCCAACCCTGCCATCTCCCCACTTTCTGCCCCATCTGCCCTACCCAAGGCCGGAAGGCCTGCCTTGCCTGGGTTTCATCAGGCAGCACCGTGGGGCTGGTGCTACCCCCCACTGTCCCCAGCAGCCGGACTAGACTGAATCCCTAGACAGAGGCTGTATCTGAATCATTTTCAGATTCTGAGGGCTCAGTCCATGGTCCTGGGCACAGATGCTAGTAAGAGCTGACCTTACCTTCCCCAGGCCATGCCTTCACACCAGGGGCCACACACTGCCAGCCCCGGGTCAGTCTGGCTCAGTTATGTTATATTTAGTTTGTATACTTTTAAAAATTTGTTGAGCTGATATTTAAATCCTCACATTAATACTTTTGGCTTCTCTTGAAAAATGAGAAACATTTGGCACTGCTAAGCCCGCATTCCTGCCTGCTGGCTCCTGGCTGCACACTCCATCCCAGCACTCTCAGTGCTCACAGTCCCACCTGCACTTGGGAGAGTCACATGGCTTCTAAGCATTTGCGTTTCCAGCCTTGACATGGATCAAAAGTGGGATTCATGTTTGAGTCAAGATCCTGCAAACTCCCTGTGGCTGAAGCTTGATTCCCACTGAGGGGAGAGGTGCTTCCAGGAGACCAAAGTCCCAGAGACCCCTTGTGCTTGGAAGGGGCACAGGCAAGTCTGAGCAGAAAGACCCTGCACTCAGCAAAGAGTGTGTTGGGTGCGGGGTACCCACAGTGTGTCCAGGGTTGCTAAAGGTCTGGAGGCCATTCGGGTCTGAGATGACTGGGTAAGACACTCCACCGAGCGCAGGGTGCTGCCCCTCTCTTGGACTCGGCACCTGGCTGCTGTCTCAATGAGGATCCGGGCGCCTAACCTTCAGAATGGAGGAGAAGAAGAGGGCCTGGCTTCCCTTACATCAGCCAGATCTTCCCTGACTCTCATAGGAAGGAGCACAGACCTGAGTTGGCAGATGGAGGTTGTCTGGTGGTCTCTCCAGTCTGCACTATGGAAGCATTTTCTCCCTGTCAGATGTGCCTGCTGAGACCTGCACTCTGACCACTTCCTTCACGCCCATCCTGAATTCAGACTGGTATTTTCTTGACCAGGAGTAGAGATGACAGAGAATGCAGGGGCCCATTGGTTCTCCTCTCTTTCTCCTTTGCAGACTACCCCAATGGCATCCGGCTCACGTCTGCAGTCCCTGGAGCAGACATAAAAGTGTTAATAAACTTCAATGCTCCCAATCCTCAAGACCGGAAGAAATTCAGCGATGACCTGAGGGAGTCCATTGCGGAGGTGCAGGAGATGGAGAAGCACAGGATAGAATGTGAGTTACAGACCTCTTGAGGAGGAAGAGCCAGCAACCCTGGCATCGTCTTTTTTTTCTTTTTTTTTAATTTCAGAGAGAGGGAGAGGGAAAAAAAAAGAGATAGAAACATCAATGATGAGAATCATCGATTGGCTGCCTCCTGCACGCCCCCTACTGGGGATCAAGCCTGCAACCCGGGACTGTGCCCTTACAGGGAATCGAGACATGACCTCAACCACTGAGCACCACTGGCCAGGCTGCCCTGACATCTTTTAAGATTTGCTGGACGTAGGTGTTGGCTCCTATATGGTGGCAGTGACTCTGTGAGCCCACAGAAATGAGCTGTCCTGGTCTTTTCTGGCCTTCCCATGTCTATGTGACTGGCAGACCACATGCCCAGGCCACAAAATGTGGCAGCGGCCTTTTGGTGAGAGCCAGGCTTCAGAAGCCCATGCCTGTTCTGACTGGGGAGGCCCCTGGTTCCTGGTCACCTCCTGGGACAGGAGCACCCGGAGTTCTATGTGGTTATTCTATTCATCTTCTGCATCAGGGCCCAGCAGACTGAGAAAGTTGCAGCCACCCCCATCCCCTGGGTTTGTTGGAGCTGATGATAACCCCTGCTTCTCCTGGCTCCAGGTGTGCAGGCTCAGGTGTGCCTACCTCTGGCCCTTCCATGAAAGGCCAGTTAACACTTGTTCATCCAGACCGAGCCTCTCTGTCTCCTTCTTGACCCTCAGGCCTGGAAAGACACTGTCTTTCCTGCAGACCACAGGGCACTTGAGCCTCTCCCGCCTCCCTCCTGGGTCTTGTTTGGCTCCCTTTTGTTGAAGGTAGCTATCATACTTCTTCTCCAAGACAATGCTCGCCCTTCTTTTTTCCCCATTTCAGGTAGATGGAGACTTGGTACAGTGCCAACCTTGAACAGAGGGCAGTGGTCCTCTTCATTCCTCCTGGTGGGGGTTCCTATCCCTGGCCCACCCGCACCCCGACCCTCACCAAGCTATGCTCCTCTCACTGGGCCCTTGCTCCTCTATTTCAGCGGAGCTTGAGAAACAGAAGGGTGTTGTGCGGCCCAGCATGTCCCAGTGCTCCAGCCTCAAAAAGGAGTCTGGCACTGGGACACTGAACCGAGCCTGCCTGGACGACAGCTACGCCAGCAGCGAGGGCCTCAAGCGCAGTGCCCTCAGCAGCTCCCTGAGGGACCTCTCAGAAGCTGGTAAGAGCTGAGCCTAGGACTCAGACGGGCACACTGGTGGTCGGGCATGCACTGCGCGCCGGGATGGTACTGCAGTGTGGCTGGCAGTAGAGGGCTTGGACGGACAGTGCTGGGTTTCCCATGACCATCCCCAAATCAGAGCAGCATGTGACCAGGCAGAGGGGACAGCACCAAAAGGCAAAAGAAAACAGGACCAAATTGTTAAAGGCAGAACAGCAAGGAAGTTACCCCATTCTCCCTTTCTTATTCTAAGAGTTTTATTTATTTATTTTCTGAAAATGGCTCTTACAAGAGTGAGCCAGACTCGCTGGTAGATGTGTTCTTTGTACTCTGTGGCCAAGCCCTGTGCTTTAGGCTGATGAATGAAATGGAGTAAAGCTTTCTAAGCTGTCTCTGAAATCCCCTTTCCCACTGTCCCTGGTCTTGCTTTCTCCCCAGCGGTCTCCCTTTTGGGCCTCTGTCCAGCCAGAAGCGGCAGCCACAGGTAGCCCTGGGAGTCAGGGGAAAGCCCTGGTGGAAACTGTGAATTTTGTTCTTTGTTTCTGTGTTTAATTTGCTGCCAGCCTCTTAACCCCCAAGCAAGCAGCACCCCTCAAGCCTCCCAGCTTTCCTGGGGCACAGATGGGGGAGAAGTTGTACCTGGGTATCAGGAGCAGGGGGCTTCTCCTGGCAGCCCTCACATGGTCTGGCTGTCGTGGCAGGGGCAGGTGAAGCAGGGAGGTGTGGGTGCAGACCCAGCTAGTTGCCTGTGAGTGCTGCTCCCACCTTATTTGCCTGCTGCGCTGTCAGACAAGCTGTGGAGTGAGGGGAGGGGTGCACTCTGGCAGTCTCCTCAGCCACCTACTAGTCATATCAGCTTCTTCTGGGAGGAGGCTCAGGGTTTGCAGTGGAGTGGGGGTTGCAGCGCATTGCACAGAGGGCATGGGGTTGTGCCCAGCACTGTAGGCTTCTGGGACCCTGGGCTCTACCTGCCCCAATGCCCCAGGTAACCTGGCCCCAGGAGCCCCTACTTTGTTGGGAAAGACCTCAGGATGAGATCAGTGTCCTCTTCTCCAGGGGCCCAGCAGCCCCTCCCCTCCTAGAGGCTTGCCCCCCGCACCTTGCCTCAGGCATCGCCAAGTGGCCAGCTCAAGGCCCCCTGAAAGAGCCTGCTCATGACCCCACCTGGTACCTGTCTAGCCAGCAGCTGCCTCCCTTTGTTTGGCTTATTTATTTCCCAGAAATGTTTTCTTTCTTTTTTATTTTCTTTTTTTGAGTTGGACTTTTCCTTTGCTTTTGTCTTGTCATTTTTTTTTTCTCCATAGTGAAAATCAGAAATCCATTGCCAGCATGAGGGTTAACCCAGGGCTTCTTAACCCCACCCCGTTGACATTTTATTCTGATAATTTCTTGCTGTGGGGACAGTTCTGTGCAAGAGGTTCAGCTGCATCCCTGCTCCACCTCCCAGTCATGACAATTAGTAATGTCTCCAGAAATTGCCAGGTGTCCTCTAGGAGGCAAAATCACCCTTGGTTGAGAACCACTGGTGATTTCCCAGCAACACATATCTGGACTACCGTGTGCCTCTGCAGATTTGGGGCCTGGGGCCTGCGTTTGAGTTTGTGCAGTGGAGCAGGCTCTGGCCTCTCTGTTCCCTAGAGGCCTTCTCAGGTGGCAGTGGAACTGAGGCACTCAGCATGTGCCCACTCTGCCGCAGCTTGGAGCTTAGGAGTCAGACAGAGCCCCATGACAGGCACACAGCCATGTGAAGGATGGAGTTCCAAGATTTGGCAGACTTCCATTTATTGTTACTATTGCCGCTATCATTTAGGGATTCTGAGCTGAGAAGGGCTCTAGGATTGTGTCCTCTCAGGAATGAAGCTACAATGAAACAAGTTCCCAGGAAAAAAGGACCCCCGACCCAGGAAGGTTGGAGGATGAGATAAGGTGGGTGTTTGAGTCCTGGCAGTCACCAAGGCCCCAGACTAAGGACAGGCCACCTGTGACTTCCAGAGGGAGACAGGCCAGTGTCAGCAGCCTTCCAGAAGATGCTGGGCTCGGCAGTCGGAGACGTGGTGTTATGTGCTCTGGACTAGGAGGGGCAAAGCTCTCCAGAGTTCACGTCACTCCCACTCATCATGGCCTTCACCAAGATGACCTTGTCAAGAAGGGGCAAGGCCCTGGGCAGCCTGTTTCCTCAGGAAAGCCAGCGCTCAGTGGTTGGCAAGTCATTGCTCCCAGAGAAGCTGCCCAATCCTGCACTCACACTTCTATCCAGGAGACAACACACCAGCAATGTGGCCTCAGCCCTTCATGAACCTTGAGGACCCAAGAGGCAGTCATGCTTTGATGCTCATGACTGGCAGCAGAAGCCTCCAGGAACCCACAATGTTCTGAGTGGTAGAGGAAGGGGCCTGGGCTCCAGTCCAAGCTCCCACTGAGCTGCAAGGCCTCACTCCATGTCCCTCCACTTGGTCTTCCTTCAGTTTTGCCCTATGTTTGTGTCAGTGGCACCAGAGCTTTGCTGGCCTGTGATCGAGGACTGGCAAGGACCTGGATGCAGTGTGACTGGGCCTCTGCCCTGCCCCAGGTTAGCCAAGTCATGGTCAGCACTGTCTGTAGGCCCTTCCCAGCCTAACTGTTCCACAACGGCCCCGGGGATGGGGGACCTGCCTGCACCCATCACCACTGCAGGAGCAGAGCTGAGACCTGCTGCATCCTGTGTGGGAAGACTCGGGAGCTCTTGGGGCCCAGTTTCCAAAGCAGCACCTGCTGCCCCAAGACAGGCCCTCCACACACAAACGACCTGTGGCAGCCTTCCCTGGGACAGGGCCATGCTCAGGGCTACCCTCGGGATGGCCACCCAAGCAGAGTCCCGCAGAGGACACTCAGCACACTGATTTCAGGCTCACGCTGATAAGATCTTCTCTCCCCTCTTCCTGCTGCTCATTAGCTATCAGGCCATGGCCAAGTTACAGTGCTGGGCTTCAGTTTCCCCGGCTGCAAGGTGGGGACTAGCACTTCTCTCCAAGGATCTCTGTGAGAGTCAGCATGTGCCAAGTGTGTAGAGCACAGCCTGGCCATGTGTGTGGATGTGGTCATTGAGGAAGTGTACCTGCGTGGCTTCCAGCATCGCCAAGGGCCACAGGGCAGCCTCTGGGTAGAGAGCCCTGCCTGCATTCTGGCCTGACCCTACCAGGCAGGGGAGGGCTCTGAAGAGCCATGCTGGGAGCCCCTTCCAGACATGGTTTCTGATCAAGCCCTAGGAGAAGTGCTGGCTGGGACAGGGCTTACTTGAAGCTAGTGCAGGACCCAGAGAAAAGGGGAAGGTTACCTGGAAACAGCGCAGAGGAGGGCCAGTGGGTGTGAGCCACTGCTCTGGCATGCTTTGCCTCGGTTCATAGACAGTGTGTGTGTGCATGTGTGCACACACCTGGACATGGTGTGCAGCGGGCAGATGTCTGTGGGTAAGTCTGTGAGTGGGAGCTTTGGGACGAGTGCAGAGCACCTGTAGGGACGCCCCACATCTCATACTGAGATGTGGAAAAGATGACTCTGAGAAACAACATTACTCAAAGGCATCTAAGTTAAAGCTCTCCTGAGTCTTGGCCCATGCTGGGCAGGAGGAGAGCCTTGAGAAGGTCACTCCTCACACCAGCGGGAAGAGGAGGAATGTGACTCTCGTCGTACTTCCGTGTGGGATTAGCGTTTTTCCTGGTCCTCAGCAGGTGGTGGGAAACACCTTGCCTCTATCCCTGTGTGGGCCTGTCCTGAGTGGGCTCTGAGGCCTTCTCACACATGCACAGTCCACAAGGCCTTCTGTGGGCCTCAGGCTGGGTGTCAGCAGGCAAGGCAAAGGGACTACATCTTCCCTGAGACTGCCATTCTCTGCCTAGGAGTGAGGTCTTACCCAGGGCATGGCCCAGCATGCTCAGGTGCTGCCCTGAGGCCCGAAGGACCCACAAGCACGCCCTCTCCACAGAGGTGTGGGCCACAGAGAGGTACATGGCAATACCACCTTCCAGGCTCCTGGGCCTGACCTGGAAGGCAGCATGGCCCATCTCTGTCTCCACTACCATCTGCATTCCCAGAGACCTGATGGAGGCTGGACCCCTAAGCTTGGGCACCATTGTTCCCGCTGGCCTGGATGTCCTGCTGGAACCCATGAAGAAGTCCTCTGGAGGGACTGTGGCGGCCAGGATGGGCACTGGGCATCCAGCACCAAGAGGAAAACTCAGCCTTCCTCTAATATGGCTAACATATGTTGAGTGCCCACATGTGCCATGCGCTGGGGACATAAAAAGGCATTGGCAGTGAGCACTGAGAGAATGCTTGTGGCATCCTGGGGGGTGGGGAGGTTTGCCCACAGAGGGGAGCAGGGCTCCAGGCCCCTCCCAGTAGCCCCTGACTCATCCTCCTGTCCCTGACCAGGGCCCTGCACAAACCAAACAGCCCCAGAGGCACTGGGAGAAAAAGGATGGGAAGTTTAGTTTTCTCTTAACCATGATTCCCACCCTGCCTGGAGCGTGAGATGTATATGTATGTGCAAATACATACCATACATATATGAAATTCACTAAAAATCATGCCGGTGCAGGACCACATTTTGTTTTTAGTCATTGCAGAAGCTTCCTTCACCCTGTCCCCTGTCAGCAGCTGGCTGAGGCCAACTTGAGCATGGGACTTTGGGCCCTACCTGTGTACCCACCTCAGCTCTCCCAGAGGCCCCTCTCCATAGAGTGCCAGTCCAGGAGAAGGAGCTGGTTGAAAAATTATTTTTTATTTATTTATTTTTTTAATCCTGTGTTTTTTTTTAATAACTATCTACTGTCCTGCAACCAGCTTCCCCTCTGAGCCCCTTCTCCTACCCTCACACCCAGCAGGTGGGCCCCATACCTGAGCCTGGTGGTGGTGGCAGCACAGTGCCCTGGCCTGTGTCTGAGTCTAACCTCTGGTATTGCATGTTCTGGGCAGGGAAGCGAGGGCGTCGCAGCAGTGCGGGATCGCTAGAGAGCAATGTGGAAGTAAGTAGGAAGCACCTACGTTCAGCTGGCTGTTGTGTGTTGCCTCCCTGATCCTTGGTTTATACCTGTTGTCTTTTTATTTTTATTTTTTGCGCTTTCACTACTGCACAGAGGCACAGACACCCCCTCCCCCCTGCCTGCTTCAGCCCAGTGCATGCCAGCTTCCCCTCTGCTAGAATCTCACCGCTTGTTTGGGTTGGAGTGGAGGGTGGGGAGGGCTGGTTTTGGATTGTGTGTTTTAGTTCCCACTTCACTCCTGTCCCCTGTGGTCCCAGCATGGTTCATTAACATCCCTGGCTCCTGGGTACCCCCCGCCCCGCCCACCAGCACTGCTCCTAGGCCAGAAGCAGCAGCTGCTGAGCACCAGGCAACCTCCCCATTGGCTTAGTCTCCTGACTTCCATGCTCTGAAGACCCCATTGCATTATTCCTGGAGTTTCAATTGCTGTGTGTCTGCAGATAGGGCACAATGGAATTGCTTAACTAGCTCAGGGGAGGAGGAAAACCATAAGAAAACAAAACAGTGTGGATTTCATGAGATTTCATTCATCCTTCAGCCATCTCTGTATTACTGTTCACATCTTAACCTCAGCTTGTAGATATTTTTGTTTCTTTCTTCTTGTTTGGTTTGCAGTAGGTAGCTGCAGTGAAATGCCTAGGCAGTCCCCATGCCCAGGACAAGAGTTCCCAAGCCTCTCCTCTCCCTTCACCACCTTCCCAGAAACCTGGGGTTCCACACAGGCAGAGCAAATGCCCTCGGACCCTTTGAGAGGAACCAGGAAAGCTGAGGCTGCGATTTCAGCAGGAACAGCGTTCCTCTTCATGCACACTAGCCTGCCCCACTCCCCTTAGCACACACTGCTCACAAACACCCCCAAACAAACTTCTGATCTGAAAGCTCAGGGTGCTTGTCAGGAGAGAGCCCAAACGTGTACTGCTGCTGCTACTATGACTAGAAAGGAGGGCCCTCCTCGCCTGCCCAGTGTCCCCTGTCCTCCCTGGAATGCCCCTTCTCAGGGTCCCTCCAGCCCCGCCCCAGCTGACTTGCCACAATAGTGTGAGAAGTAGCCCGAGTCCTGCCTGCTCCCAGCCCCACCCTCTGCGGGCAGTGAGTTGAACTAAACTAAAGATTAGCAGTCAGTGGGTGAACTTTTTACATTTAAAAAAAAAAAATCATTCTGACATAAGTGCTTTAAGATCTTTTAATTTTGATTTCTATGAATTTCCTTTTTAGGGGTCCATCATTAGCAGTCCTCACATGCGCCGGAGAGCTACATCAACACGCGAGTGTCCATCTCGCCCACACCAGACTATGCCTAATTCATCCTCCCTCCTGGGCTCCTTATTTGGGAGTAAAAGAGGGAAGCCCCCTCCTCAGGCTCACCCACCCTCAGCCCCTCCCCAGCCACCCCCACACCCTTTAGGCCTGCCCCACCCGCAGCACTCCATGGTGGGCCACCACCAGGGGCCTGCAGAGGGCCCTCCGCAGGTCCCGACGCATGGGCACCATACCCAGTACTGCCACGTGCAGCAGAACCCACCCCCCTACCACCACCACCACCACTACCACCCACCCCAGCACATCCAGCATGCACACCAGTACCACCATGGCCCCCATGGGGGGCACGTGCCCTACGGGGCCCACACGCACAGCCACCCACCACTGCCCTTGGCCCATGCCAGCCATCCAGGCCACGCAGCACACCACCACGGGCATTCCTCCGCCCCACCGCCCCCTCCCAGCAACAAGGCCAAACCCAGTGGCATCAGCACAATTGTGTAGACAGCTTGGGCCAGGGTCCCAGACTCCCCGGAACAAGTGCACACCACACAGGCACGCCTGGGGCAGCCAGCCTCAGACCAAACCCAGGGCACTTCTGTTCCCATCCTCCCATTTTCCCACAGCCTGGACGGAACCCCTGAGCACATGGGCTTGTGTTATAGGGAGCAAAGCTCCTGATTTAATTTAGCATTGGTGCCCTGGGCTCCATCCACCTCAACCCCAAGGGGTGGGCCGCAGGCACTATCAACCTTGAAACAGTACCTCCAGCCCAGGAGATATTGCCCCCCTCTTCTCCAGCTGTAGCCCTCAGCTCTCTCCTCCCTAACTGTACATAAATATGAAAAGCCTAGAAAAAGAAGAAACAAGACACACAAAAACAGAACAAAACAGAAAACCCAAAACTTGCTGCATTATTGCTCTTTTATTGACAATGGGCAAAATTAAGTAGACCTGATATGGTTGATGAAAATACGTAAGTAAACTTTATATAATATAAATATATAAATAAATAAATAAATAAATAAATAAATAAATACTGTATAGGTAGTATTTGTGTGTGAAAGGCAAACATTTCAGTCCACAAAATTAGCAATATAGACTTTACAAGGAGCTCCACATACCTGATAGAAAGACAGTACCTTAGATGAATGTGAGAGTAGACCAAAAATCTAAATGCTAAGGACAAACTCAGATACTTCCATATTTTCATAAAAAGCAGAGAAGTCCCTCTAGGACTAACTATTCATTACTTATTCAGTCATTACTAACTGTGCCAAGTAACATAGCATCTTACTATTTAAAAAAAGTCCAATATCGCTTTATATAAATCCTTATTTTATTAACAGAATACTATCATAAGTAATCAGTATTATAACTGCTCTGTTATTTCAGGTAAGCAAATAGATAAAATGCAGTAAACTACAGAGCAACTCAGGATGGCTGGTTAAGAACTGGCTGTCTTAGAGTATGGGTTACACACATTCATGACACTTGAATAGCTGTGATAACTGTGAATTTCCATGACCCATGGTTCTTTTATATGCACATGATTTGATGCACACTCATTCAGAGTCCTCTGAGAGGGGCACCATACACTGCAGACGTATCATCTCCAACATGAAAAAGACCAGCTCTCATCCTTGCCTCCCTCAGCGCCATACTTCCTCATCCTGTTTCCAACTGCAACAGGAGCCTCTTCCAAACCTGCAGGCTGATGTTAGCATTTAGCTACCCAGGGCGGTGTGTGTGTTCCTGTTTTATTTTCTGAGTGGTGGCCATGATCATTGTAACTTCATGTAGCCATGTGCTAGCATAACCCCTGTGTCATCACTGTGGCCCCTCTGATCCCAGCTGACAAGTGCCCAGCCCTCACTGGTGAAGCCCCCGTTGCCTTGTCATGGTCCAGTTAGCTGCCAGGGCATCACATGACTCTCAGCTGTGCTCTTGTTGCTTCTGTCTTGTGACACCATCTGCTCCCCTGGGGCCGGGCGCTGCACGCGTCCGGTTCTGTGCCTGAGTCACATGGGCCATACTTTGTAGTTTCAGCCTTTCGCGACACTGCAGCCACCAGTGCTGTGTTCCTAAGCCGTGGGACCCGAGGACTGCCCATGGCACCTGCCCAGGTGGAGAGCCCTTTCAGAAAGGGCGAAGCTAACACAGGACTGTGGGCTGCGGAGCTCCATGCTCCTTGGAAGGAGTGGCGAGCTGTGGCCAGACGGCAGACGACAGAGGGAGCCCACCCTAGCCAGCCGGCTGGGCATCTGTCCATTTTCCTCCTTTGTCATGTCATTGAGGCCATCATACCAGCAAATCTGCAAACTGAGCACTTTGTTAATCTCCACAGAGAGCAAATACAGCAATCTAGAGTTACGCCTTTTAAAAAAGGAAGTGTGACTAACCTGCCCGCCTTTACCTTCCCATTGGTACAACTTTTCTGTCTTGGACATCTGCTCAGAGAGGAATAAAAAGCACAGGTGTGCCTGATTTGGTCCAGGCCCAGCTGGTGGGAGGCTCCCCAGTCCATTGACTCCTGAATTCTTTGGTTTTCTTTCAAAGCCAGGCTCCCCAAGGCATTCTCTAGTATGCAGTTTAAAGGATGTTCTGACAAGGAAAAGTCAAATTGTACTGCGTGTCATCGGTGTTGATTGTGTGAAGCCACATTTATATATTGTATATTTGCAAAATATATCAGTGTTACTGTTGACAAATAGTTGAGGTAAAGTGATAACATATTAAATATGCCGGCTTTTTTTTTTTTAATCCCTCTGTACCAACGGTAGAGTTCAACTGTAAATTCTAGGTTGTTCCAGAAAAGATACAGGCTATTTAGTACAAGGTTGCTCTTTCTGAAGGGGCAATAACTAGGGGAAACAAAACAGAAAGAACCAACAGTACATTCATTGATGGGGCCAGTGGGAGGGGCTCTCTCTCCATTGCATCCTCCGTGCTCCAAGGACCATTCAGAATTCACCTCCAAAACTATTATTGATGTGCCCTGAAGTTTTGTCCAGTGCCACAGGGCCAGGTCTAGTGAAATAGGGCTTCTTGAACAAACTCAGTTTCTCCCTGTGTTTCCAACTTTATACAGGGTATTGGGTTCAGAACCGTGAGGTTTGGTCATTCTCCATGTTTTATTTGTAAACCTGTCCTGGGAGGTGTTTCCAGGAGCACATTGTTCCATTGAAGAGGCTGGAGGCAGCTGCGCAGATCTTGTCTGGGCAGCAAAAGCTTCTGATAAACATGTGCTCCATATTGCTTTCACGGGGCTGTGCTCTCTGGATCCCAGCCTGTCAGAGTCACAGCCATGGGGACCTATTGTTCACAGAGCCCTTGTCCCCTCAGGAGGCTGAGTGCCACCACATTGCTTGTGCCATCTTGTGTGTCAGTATACTCGGGACATCTTCTCAAGTCACACAAATTATTTCAATTACATAATTTCTGACAGGAGCAGGAGACCCTTAGAGGAAACATCTGGTAGTATCACAAAAATCTTTTCTGGGACAACAATTAAATCATATATTTGTACTTTTTTAAGTTGATTAATGAATTGTACAACATTGTAAAAATAAAGTTCATCCTAATATGACTTGCACATCTTGTTAACAATGTCTCCAGTCGCCGTGGAGCGAGACTTCCCACCCTGCGCTGCATGCAGCAGAGGCCTCTTCTTCATCTTTAAAATGACCTAGAAAGACAGCAGCCACTTACACATGACCCTAGGTGTTGACTCAGCATTCCGTATGAAGCTGTGTCTACAGGTTAAGCATGCATCTTACAGTTTTGTTGTAAAAATATCATCACCCTTCCTGTCTGAAATGAGTAATTTTGTACATATTTTAAATAACAATAATCAAAGAAACATTGCACAGTGAATCAGTGTGAAGTGGGGGTGGTGAAAAGGGACAAGCAGGAAGAGCCTGTGCCTCATGTGCATGTACGTTGGTGTTGCTGTTCTGTCTGCGGTCTTGCTGAGGCCGCATGCAGTATCTGTCTCCTCTTGAGAACTGTCATTCACCTTCAAGTTGTTTTAAATGACTAGAATCTGGTCTTGAGTAAAGACTGTTCAAAGACTTCAAGGGATGCCTTGCTCACAAGAAGCCTGACGCCCACTCTGTAACTTTGGGGAGGAAAAGAGTGCTTTGTTTTAATGTGCATTTGTTTGTGAGTAGTAACAGACTCTATTGATGTAAAACCATAGCTGTGATCATGTGGAGAAATCAAATAAATCCTTTAAAATTCTCGGACTCCTTTTCTGAAAAGTCCAGATGTTTCCCTCTTGGGCCAGAGAGATTTCCAGCTGACAGGTATGCCCATCTTTGTCGTGACTGTGGGCACTGGGTCTCCTGGAAGACCCTGGCCTGACTTTAATTTGAGAATGTTTAAGATAAAGGTGCATATCCCAACTTTGACTCCAATAAAATATGTCAAAGGTATTTATAATTTCTAGCAACTTCCAAATTTTAGTGCTTTTATCAGCTTAGAGAGAGGAGGTGGCCCATATGAAGAGCTGAGGTGGACTGGAAATGCTTTATGGAGGGCAAAACTCTAATGGTCTAGTTTCCAAATGCTTGAAGGGAGTTTATTTAATGAGGTCAACGTTGTCTGTTTTTCCAGATTAACGTGATGTGCAGAATCCGGAAGGTGAATTCTGATTCTACTGGAAGAGTTCTATGAGAACATGACTGACTTGTGCTTCTTCTTTCCTGGAACGAAATCCAGTTCCAGAGAATACTGCCTTAAAGTTTCACTGCATATCATAAAATGAAATAAAACTGGTAGATCAAATTTGTGGAAAACAAAAAGGTTTAGTGACCAAAATTAACCATGGCTTACCACTCATTAAGAAGTGAATTTTGGCCCTGACCAGTTTGGCTCAGTGGCTAGAGCGTCGGCCTGTGGACTGAAGAGTCCCAAGTTCGATTCCGGTCAAGGGCATGTACCTTGGTTGCGGGCACATCCCCAGTAGGGGGTGTGCAGGAGGCAGCTGATCCATGTTTCTCTCTCATGGATGTTTCTAACTCTCTATCCCTCTCCCTTCCTCTCTGTAAAAAAATCAATAAAATATATTTTTTTTAAAAAGTGAATTTTGATCCAAAGATGTTCTCAGAAAACCATTCCTTTTCCAGGCCATTCAAGGGTTCTTCAACAGAGTAAAGCTAGTTACTAAAGTCCCCTGAAATACTTAGCTCTACTTCAGCATTTGGGTTTAAGACATACTGAACTGCACACCAATGTGTGCTTGTCTCCCCCGCTCCAGCTTGTGCGCTCCTTGGGGGCATAGAGTGCACCTGACCCACTTCTCTGTGTCCAGTGACCAGCACAGGACTGGTTTTGTCAAAATGCGTCTGAAAGTGATGGTTGGCATGGGGAAGCAGGGTCACAGCAAAACAACTGGTTGATCTTAATGTGTGTAAATCATCAACATTTTATGGAAACTTGTTTGCTCAGCCCTTTGCTACCCTTGGCATTGAGGAGTCTAGGTGGGACACACATGATGCTGTCAAACTTCTACAAACGTGGTTCCTGATTACTGTTTCCTTCCCCCACTTACAACACATTTTTAGCCCTCATTTTGACCTCACAGCAGCTTTTGAGATTATTCAAGTTCGTTCCCGCAACAGTATTTCCTTGTCACCTCTGTTCCCACACTGTGATCTTCCTCTTTGGGATGTCTTCATTGTCTCCTTTGTAGAGCTGGTAAGTGTTGGTTTGAGGATCAAGTCCAAGCTCTCTTCCTATCTTTACTTTTTTTAGGCCATTTCATGCAGATCCACAGTTTCAGTCTAGCTTCCAATTGTGAATCTGCAGCCCAGACCTCCACTCTGAGCACCCATGTTCCCTTGGATCTTTATCTCCATGACCAAATTGATGATCACACACAGACACACACGAAGTTCTGTGTTCTCTACTTTGACAAATGGTGTCACCACTGAGTTGCATAAATGAGAACTTGGGGATTGTCCTTGACACCTGTCTTTTCGTCGACTCCAAATCCATCTATCACCAAGCCCTTTTGACTTCCTCCTCCTACATGTTCTTGAATCACCTCTGTCACTGCTTCAGGCCGTCACCTGTCTGTCATCTGGACGAGAGCTCCCTGACTGGCCTCCTGTACCATCGTGGTCCCTCAAACCCGTTTCCCACATGGCACCAGAGGAATCTCTAAGGTGCCACCCGTGTAAAGCCATGTGAAGGGCTTCCTGTTGCCCTTATGATTGAAAAAACAAAATCCTTAACATGGCCTTCATGAGACCTGCATGGGCGGCTCTGCATGGACTGGCTCACCTTCACTTTCCCCTTGCTCTCCAGCCACATGAGGTTCCCAGACAAGCTGAGTTTTCTCCTGCCACTGGGCCTGTGCAAGTGGGCCCTCTGCATCTGTGTTCAGTTAGCTCCTTCATCGTTCAAGTCTTAGCTTGGCCATTATCCCCTCTGAAATGTGTTACCTATAGTTATATATTCAGTAGTGTGATAACTTTGTTATAGTAAATGTCACAAGGTCAGGACAGTGGCTGTCCTTACACACTGCTGTAACCTCAACACGTGGCACAAAGTAGGACTTTAATAAATGTTCTACTGAGTATATGAAGACCACAGAGCCCCAAAAGGAAATTCGGTGCTGAAATGCATGATGGCATTTGCAGGTTCAAAATGAGATCCAAGACCTAAAAAAAAGCAATGTGGACCGGAGTGCTGGGAAAAAACTGGATCCTACTGACATTTCTTCTTTATTTTTTTTTAAATATATTTTATTGATTTTTTACAGAGAGGAAGGGAGAGAGAGAGAGTTAGAAACATCGATAGGAGAGAAACATCAATCAGCTGCCTCCTGCACACCTCCCACTGGGGATGTGCCCGCAACCAAGGTACATGCCCTTGACCGGAATCAAACCTGGGACCTTTCAGTCCGCAGGCCGACGATGCTCTATCCACTGAGCCAAACCGGTTAGGGCGACATTTCTTCTTAAGTCAAGGAGTAGTTTGGGTAGTAGTCGAAGGGTTTTAATCATTGTTTTATCTTTCATCAAAAGTGTTTTAACATTTAGAGCATTTGGAATTACTAGATTTATCAGAAGCAGGGAGGGGGGGAAATCACCCACAACCCCACCAACCCTAAAACAGTTATATTTAAATGTTTGATCTATTTTCATTCCATCTTTTCTTCACACATATTTTTCAGTTACCTAGTTCACATCTTCTGTGTGTGTCCCAAAAGGTGTGTAAGTA